AAACGCAGTCAGCTCCTGACTCCATCGCAGCGGTGGCAACAACATCAATTGCCCGCCGAAGCCGCAGCCCTGAGATGTGATGCGCGCAAGGCTGAGGAGTCCTCGCCACATTGCCCTATGGCACCAGCTCAAGTTGCCAGCGATGTGGATTCCCGTCCACCTCAGCCAACGTGAACAATGTACTGGACCTCACACAATCCTCTCACCAAACAGGCTGAGGGATCCTCGCCACAAGTACCTGCAAAAATCTCCAACAGCGAGAAGGCGCATAAGCCTAGCGAGAGAGATGCTGCACGCAAGAGTCTCTCTCTCTCTCTCTCTCTCTCTCTCTCTCTCTCTCTCTCTCTCTCTCTCTCTCTCTCTCTCTCTCTCTCTCTCTCTCTCTCTCTCTCTCTCTCTCTCTCTCTCTCTCTCTCTCTCTCTCTCTCTCTTCCATACGATCAGAGCCTGGGTGGACTTCGGTCCTCGTAGGGGGCCCTCCGGGGCGGCTACGTTGTAGGGGGGCGCCGTCAGTGACGGCAGGCAGTGCATAGTCATCTCCAGGCCCACGCTCGTCGAGTGGGAAAGGACTCCGACTGTGAACCAAAGTCAAAAAAGTCCCAAGTGCCACGAGCGCTCAGACTTGTAGTTTTCTGCAGCTCCTGCGCATGGTTTTCAGAACTGGGCTCTTGCAGCTCACAATTTTACTGTGAACTGCTTATGTAAGCTTTGCTGTTTTGTGGTGCAAACGAAACTCGAGAGTTTTGCACACGGACAAGCTTTTTGCATTCTGGAGTACCGTGGAAGAAGCATCTGGGTTTTTGCTGGCTCCGATACTTTGCCTACAGACTACTTTGTGTGGTTCGGGGCGTATCGGTACATTGCATTACAAGAAACTGACAGAGGCGCGGAGCATCAGAATCGAACTAGTTCCGGTCCCAAGTCCAGACTGTGCAACGGTCTGGAGATTGGGCCTTTGGGTTTTCACTCTATTCAGCTGCGCAGGGCACGAGGGTGGCGTCTGTGCCATGACAGATGCCGTAGCAACACCAGCTTCACAACGGATAGCTGGCGTACCGGTTGCGAAGCACAATGGCGTATGGGCCACAGGGGACTTCTGGTCTGATATCCTCTAGGAACAAGCAGATCATTGTCAAAAGAACTTTCAAAAGAGCCTGCAGGCGAGCTTTTCGCCTCGGCTCCACCATGTACAGGGGACGGCCATTTACATTGCATGACATTCCCGAGGACATGCGACAACGCCTGCAAGCTGAGACGCCTTCAGTCACTCGGAAGGATCAATAGGTACCGGGAGGCTGGGTGGGATATAGCAGGTGGGATGTTCCAGGAATGCATGTTACGGAAGTCGGCCTTAGGCTGGAAGTTGAGCACAGATCGGCATTCAGTTTAGAAAGTTAACAGTGTGATCTTCATAAGAGGGACCAATTGCAAGAACCCAGACAATGCAGGGATTTGGTAAACAGAAGCGTGTTCGGGATCTTCACACATGGACCTGATGTTCCAAACGGAGCAAGGGACGGTCGTGGAAGTTTGGCCCATGTTAGGGCAGAAATCATCACGTGTTGGTGTCAATGTCTCTCTCTTGGTGGCACCTGAGCGTCTCTAGACATGGGCGTCGTCGTCAGGTCAGTTCGTCATCAGGTTGTGTCAGTCGGGGTGTACCGGGGGAGGTGCATGAGGGAAACAGTCAAGCCAGCGACTGCAAGCCGAAACGTTGTTGTCGTCCCCGCTGCTTGTTGCATTGTATCTGAAACAGCACATTCTGTTCCGTCGCAACCGCAGGAACTAGAACAAGCCCTGTACCCTGACAGCTTGTAGAACTAGCAGTTGTCCTATCGTGCAGTTGTGTATTCCCAGTGTCTCTTCTTGCGTGGGTCAACGTTTTCCAGAAGTGTGCTACCTTGTGTAGCATGTCGGATCGAAGCATTTTGCAGTCTCGCCTGGCAGCCTGTTTTGCTTCAGTCGTGTGCCGAGAACAGGTTTTCATGTCATATAACGTGGTGGCATTAGCAGGACATCATCACAAAACCAATGCCTTTTTACAAAGGCATGTTCAGGCGATTCGCGCTTACTGTGAGACAGCACGAGCCCAAGCATGAGACCAAACCCAAGTCAGCAGCGGCATGGAAATCCTTTCAAAATTTGCTGGTCCTGCATTTTCTTTCCGAAAAAGTAGATACACGTGGGAAGCCTCAGAGGCTAGCAAGTCTAGAAGGCTGTGCACAGTGTTGGCGAACAGTCGTTTTGTGGTGTGGCGTGTGTTGCGACCGACATCTTTTGAGTTTCCGTTGGTCACATGTCAGCGATACCAGTCGTTCACAGACAGCTCAGCACACGTACACACTTCAGTAGGGATTCCCTTGTATGTCGTTTTTCGAAATTGCGGGCACGAAATTCGAGCCCTGCTGAACACACTGTGTCGTGCTGGACTTTCCACTGTTGGGTGTAGCAAGGAGTTTGAATTCGCGATCAGATCTGCGGGTCTTCCCGCATTGCCGCATCAAGCAGAAGGTGAAATTGTCTTGTCAGCCTCGACGTCGCTGTGATTGTAGTGTAGGGTTCGCTGCAATGCCGCCCAAGTCTTCTTCATCCAGCAAAAAGCACTTCCGCTCCATGGCTGTCGACGACCAGATTGCTTTGCTGAATCAACGAGCCGACAAATTGCTCCAAAAACAGCAGCTACGTCTGATCGCCGATGTGCTCAAAGAGCAGCCTGAGCTCATCCTGGGGGTAGTGAAACACCTGGAATCGAAGGGGGTGCACTTCCAGAAGTTGGAATCCTTTGCTAAGACCAAGCCCGCCGCCGAGCAGACCACGGAGGGCCTCGAGGGGAACAAGACCGCGCCGGATGATGATGACGAGAGTAAGGGCACTGGGGGACGACCGGCGAAAGTCCGCAAGACCTCCGAGGTTCAAGACTCTGACCCCAAGAACTGGCTCCCCCATGCTTACACACGGTTGGACAACACCAAAGCCCCGATCCTTGAGGACATCTTGGCGAGCATCCATGAGATTTCCTTCTCGCCCTTCATGCTGAAGGCTCTTCGTCCGAAGGGCTCCAAGGCAGCCGACTACCAAATCAAGCTGCAGGAGCTGCTCGAATTTGCCACCGGGTTTGACGTCGCGAAGCCTCTGGTTGGTGACCTTCGCCACATCCCCACCCTGAAGCAGACGTTGATGGACATGTCTCAGCAGACGGGCCGCCGTGGAAACGCTCTCAAGCTGCCACCAGACTGGACTTGCAAAGACGGAATATACGAGCTTTCATCCGATGAGGATGGGAATGTGTCTGTTCGCCACCGCTACGCCAAGATCACCGTCAAGCTTCCCACAACTATGCACTTCACAGAGGACGGCGGTGACCTCGTTGATGTGGAAGACCTCGTCGTGGACAAGAACTATTCCCAGGATAAGGCCGTGATCACTTGGAGCGGGAGCCCTGAGTCCGTTCTCATCGCTTCCTTGCCGTGGCCAGCAGACGTCAAATCCACGGCGGATCCCCAGCAGAAGTCCAAAATGCAATCCGAGACGGCTCTGGTAGCAAGTTCGCCTGACAAGCCTCAGCTACGCCGCAAACCCAGCACGGTAAGCCTGGCGCCATCGGAGTTGGAAAAGAGCCCCGAGGGCTCGCCCATGAAAGCATAGAAGACATGATTGCAGTGCTGCAAGCCGATGGTTGTGCGGTATTTTTTTGGGTTCACTTGCCCAGGCGGCAAGACAAGGGCTGCGCGTGATTGTTGGGGATGTCCGTGGGAGTCAGAAGCCTGAGTTTCGAGGCATCGTATTTGCGTAATGCGGCAATATCCTGCAGGCAGCCTTAAAATCTGTTTTCTCATAGTCATCTTCTAGCATGCACTCGAGGCTGTCAAGACCCAGGGTCATTCAATCCGCGCTTGTACACTTTCTGTTGCCAGCGGCACTGCTGCGAAGACCAGATCGAGAAGCGGCATTCAACTTGCGGGCCGCATGTTCTGCATCGCTGTGAAGGCCTGGGCCTGAACGGTAGGGGTCAGTAGTCGTCGTCTGAGATATTGAGCAAAGCCATGAAGAATCTGCTGTTTGCGAAGAAGTCAGTAGAGCAGTTTCGCTTTTCTGTAGCGAGTTTCATTAGGCAGCAGAGTAGGTTCTGAAGCAGTTGCAACAGAAATCCCGTAGAAGGCACGAAAGTCCATCGAGTAGGTTTTCAAAATTGTTCTTATCCTTGTCGCACTGGTCAGTCTTGTAGTCTTGCCCAAAACAGCTGCCAAAATAACACTGCTAGTAAGGGATCCGCGGGATGCAGTCGGATTGCTTCAAAACAGAGGTTCCGGAGCACGTAGACATGTTAACTACTTCAAGCCCCTGTCGCAGTAGTTTCAGAAATAGTACGTAGACTTGCAGTAGGCAATGCAATAGTTCCGAAAGCACTTGCAAACGAAATGTGATACAAGGCACAAAAGTCCATCGAGTAGGTTTTCAAAATCGATTTAGTCATCGTCGCGATGATTGGTCCTGTAGGCTTGTACCAGAGTAGCCAAGCTGGAGAAGATGGCATGTAAAGGAGCAGGTGCAGGCCGTCGCAATAGTTTCCCGGCGTAGTTCTTGCACAATGTAGGTTAATGTATTGAAACTTTGACAGAGAACTGCAGCAAACGTGAAAGTCATTCGCCCTCCTTGGCGGCGCCCACTCGACGCTTCATATGTACATGTTTCGACTGTAGGGTTGCGCATAAAGGGTTTAGGAGGTTTAGGCAGGCTCTGAAAGAGCAGGTTTTGTCAGTGAGAAAACATCTCCGAACGTTGCTCCGGCTTGCACGGCAGGCAGGCTTCCAGACGCAAGATTGTATGTGTGGGAAGGCGAACTGAATGAGCTCATGATAATCGTTTAGATGATACTTTAGCCAGCTTTGTTTTTTAGTTTGCCATATTGCCGTGTGTTTATTTGCACGAAATCAACAATACGAGTGCGCAGGTACAGTGTGGATAACATCCAAACACATTTAATCACTATACGCAGTCGCATGACCGGTGCCACGGCACGATGGTTGCCATTGCCACCGGAAAGTGGGCTCAGAACTTTGAAGTTCTGGTTGCATGACAGTCTGCCACCAGAGAGAAAAGTGAAGTGGGAGCTGCGTCGGCTCCTGGACGAGTTACGCGATGCTGCGGCAGACACCAACAAAATCCTCCGTGAAGAGAGGGCTCAGTGGAATGTGGTTTTCCAGACGGCTGGTTGCAGTGATACGGACATGCTGTTGCCCAGTGCCTATGCATATCGTTACAAACATAGAGAAGAGCCCCCACTAGAGCTCGTGGACGAGCACCAAGTTGAAACTGCTGGTGCGATCTGCATCATGTTATGGTACCGCCTCCTGCGCCGACAACCCGCAGGCCATCCGCGAGCAGACGTTGTGCTCCGCACATTCCTCGAGACAGCGCTTGAGACTGATGATTTGGTTTCAGATCTGGAGCTGCTTACTCCTTCGGACACCGTGCTGCAGGCATCAGCACAATGCCAGCAGCAGCAGGGTGAAGCAGTTTCTGGGGACGTTTGCACGCACGTGCGCCAGATCTTTGTGACTGCTTTGCAAATGACAGAAGTTGGGGACGTGGTCTCGAGCTTGTTGCAGGGCATGTTCTCGCAGAGACGCACGTGCTGTGCAGCCAGTCCGAGCTTTAAAGCACTGATCGGAAAGATCACACTGCGAGTTGCCTCCCATGCCAGCGCTTTAGGCACGAGCAACCCTTTGGAGGGGGACACGGATGTTCGCGGCAAGAACAAGCGGAGACTGGATGGAGACCGCAAGTCTGCGCTCATCGGCAGGGCTTTGACGGACCGGAAGGCGAAGTCCATTCATACGCTTGCTGTGGCGAGGGATGAAGTTGGCGGGGACAATGCGGATCGCTGGCTCATACAAGACGTGTCGGCATACCGCTGGGCCACTGCAGCAAGTTTCCAAGGGGTGCAAAATTTGGCTCTGTGCTACGATGCTTCGAAGGTGGGCCAGCCCAAAGAGGAAACTTTGGTGATTGCTGCTGCCCATGTTGACCGCGGCCTGGCGGCGTGGTTCATGCCACAGGCAGGGCAGTCAAGCAGTGATAGATAGCAGTCGTCGGTGCGCATAAAAAGCATTGTAGCAACAAAGGGCGTCATAGCTGATAGCGAAGCATAAACAAGTGACCCTCAAGTTGCGTAGGGACACACGGAGGCGACCTTTCGAGCAGATACATGTCCGAATCCTTTTTCCTGTATGACTAGAGTTGTGCATGTATCCAAAATGCTTGTTTTAGATACATGTATCCATTTGTGTTGTTTTAGATACATCGGCCTCGCCGTTTGTATCGACATTCTGTGGTGACATAAGATTTTGTATCCGTTTTGCGTTGCCGTCGCTCGTGCGGCTGAGGTGCTGAAGAGCAATTTGCTTGATGTGCCATCTGGCAGCACGAACCGATTGGAGGAGCGTTTGGCCTCCTGCGTGGAAGGAAGCATCAACAGGGCACTTTTAGTGGAGCAGCTTGAGGAGGCGAAAAGCCGCAAGAAGGAGCAGAATGCTGATGACATCGATTTTGAGTTGATGGCGAACAAGTATTTTGCGCTTTCTTTGGATAAGTCGCTGCAGAAGTCCATTCAGATTGGGCTCAGCTACTTCATGCCCTCCAATCCCCAGCTTTTGCTAAAGCCGGGAGAAACCTTGGCCATCTTGGACTTGGATGCCGCAGAGTGCCCGAAAGGCAGCACACCCCGCCGAGCTGTGGCAAAAACATGCGGCAGCGGCGAAGCTTCCCACCGTGTCTTGGTACCACGTGAGGTGCGTAATGGCGAGCTCCACCGGCCTGTTTTGCATCGGGCCCAAGACGAAGGCTCCATCGGGTGGGTCTGCTCACTTTGGTTGGACAACTGTGTGCAGCTGCGGGGCTCGACCATTGAGGATCCAAGTCACCGTTTTCATGGCAATGACTTCAAGAATGCATTCGTCGCCAGTGGTGTGTGGCTCAATGTCTGTGAATGGGGAGTCCTGTACAATGCAACAACAGCTCCGTATGAGGGGCATGGGAATTTCAGCCTGCTGCAGGAGTGCAAAGAGCAGTACTTCAAGTTGAGAGATCACACGTGCCCGCTGTTTGCTTTGCTGTACGAGCCCATATGCGACGAGTTGCGTTTGCCGCTTCTGGAGCGTGGGACGGAAGACCACATGCGACGAGTTTTCCATCAGATCCAAGGCTGTGCAATCTTCCACCGTAAGGGCGACAGAGTCAAGATGGGAAGGTGGGCGAGCTGGTTTCGAGCTGCAAAGTTTTGGCGCGGTCAAAAGATGCCTGCGCTTCTGGTGCTGCTTTTTGCTGGCATTCAGCGCAAGTGGTGGGACTCCTTGTCGGGTCTTCCGCTGCTCAATGTCCGAAGTGAGGAGTTGCAGGACCATCCCGAGGCAGGAGACGCGACCGCTGCTCCAAGCAAGAAGCAAGCAGTGGAGAAGCAGAGCATGTCTGCTGATGTGAAACCGGGTTCAAAAGCAGTCAGCTCAGAGGCAGCCTCTTCGTCGTCTTCCAGCCGCCAAGTGCCGGACTCAGGGCCTCCGGCGCCGGATGCAGCAGTTCCGCCAGTGGCAGGCTTGGAAAAGAAGTCCGTGAAACAGTCCAACGTGGAGCTGAAGAAGCTCAGAAGCGAAGCAAAGCACGGCTTGCATTTTTGTGCCAACGTGCTTGCCAACACGTTTGGGTGTTGCCTGACAGAGCAAACCGTGTCAATTTGCGAGCCTCTCTGCGAGTTCGTGGACCGCATGCGAACGGTGTGTACAAGTGTTCGGGGTTCGGAGCAGTGGCACATCGACTTAGTCAATGGGTCGCTGGATACTGCCATACAACGAACATGGCGCCTCCTGACAGAGAGTGAGATGTTGGAACAGGCTGGCTACTGCAGTCGTGAGAGCCACGAATGGCGCACTGCAGCCGAGCTTGAGCAGGACAACAGACTGGCGGCTGCGCTGTTTGACACTTTCTCCAATGTGGCCACTCAGTTCACTCTGTCAGGTATGACATGGACGCACAGGTATCCAGGGCGGTTCGTCTCACTGCTGGACCCGAACCCCAAGCAGCAGAAGGCCAACATGCTCCACGTCAAGAAGGATTTTGAGCTCTTTTTGAAGCTCCAAGAGCTTGCGCAACACTCTCCGCTTGCGAAAAGCTTCATGGCGGATCTGCAGTGGCCTTTGCAGACGTTCGTAGTTGAAGTCTTTTACATGCTTTTCGAGATAGGCTTTTCGGAATTGACAGATGAGTTGCGGCAGTTGCTCGTGGGATTCTCACGGTCCTGGCTTGCGTCCATCATTGACGAGGAGGCCTTCAACTGCCTGCGCAACAACTCCTCGAATCAAGCTGCAGGCTTCATGAGTCGTCCGGCTCGCTGGGGGAATTTGTGCAGGTCGCCACTGCTCTCCCAACATGGTAGGAGGACGGTGGAAGTCACAGCAACAGCGAGAGCTCAAGGGAAAGGAACTATTCCTAAGACTGCTTTCGTTGCTACAAATGCCGGCGAGTTCGATTTAGGAAGCGATGCCCTTGAGACCATGAGCTCTCCGAATTGGCCACACCCCAGCCCTGCAGGCCACAAGTTGGTCGGTGCTGCCTGGGCGGCTTGGCAGGCCGCTAAGGGTGACCTTCAAGTTTTGTCACGAAGCTGGCAGAGCTTGCTTGCCACTCCAGGCTGTATGCTGGCAGACCGTGGGGGGCAGTTGCTGGGTGTGGTGCTGGGCTGTAACCCATGGTGTTTGTTCTACATGCCCACCAAGAGCCGGCGCTTACCGAATGGGCACCTGATCATACGTCCCGACCCGAACGGTGTCCTCCAGACTCTTTGCATTCAGGATGCCAACAAGTGGAGTGCCATGAAAGCCAGCATAGCCTCACCTGTTCAAGTGGCCAAGTGGGCTGATGCCGGAGACACCTGCCCTGGAATTGCTTGGAAGGCGGAACCCGGCGGCACCCTTTTCCGCAGAGCTGCTCGTGATGGCTTCTGCATGATGACGAAGGTCTTCCTGGACAAGTTGGTTTGTCTTCTAGGCCTGACTTTCCCGAAAGGCAAGAAGCCCAAGACGGTCAACGACATTGTCAAGGCTCTGGTGAAGCACATCATCCCCGGCTGCACCGAGGAAGTCATCTCCGATGCTTTGGCACGCCGTGGAAGCAAAGGAGACAACACCGATCTCGCCGAACACTGCATTCTGAACGTGGGTGAGAACGCCGCTGCGCTGGAGCACTGCATGGACGATGACGACCATGAAATTCTGACCAAAGCCGTCGCCAGCGTGCGCAAGAAGCAGGCTCACTCCGAAAGCGATGCTGCTGCTGCTGGGCGGCCACGGCAGTGGGTGAGGAAAGCAGTGGACAAGCACAAGGAATACACCCTTGAAGATGCCCGCTCATTCCTTCCCAAGATTGACGGCTGCACTTTGCAGCTAGACGAGACACGTTTTACAAGGTGGTGTGGCCTGTACCCCCGGCTTACGCCCCCAAGATACTGCACGAAGAGCTGGGGTCCTCGCACAGGGCTCTCAAACAAGCAGGCGCTTTTCCATGTGCTTCAGCAATTGTGGACATGGCACGAAGAGGAGCAGAGGGGGTCGTGCCCCTGGGACTTCTCAGAATTGCTGTGAGTCCTTCGGCCAAGTATGTCTAGAAACAGTTTGCTGCAGAAAGATCTGTGGCCTTGTAGCTTCCCTGGTCAGCGTCGGGTGTGGTTGAAGTATGAGCAAGGTTTTGGTAGGGATACTAGCTATAATTATTGGATCGCTTTGGGTTCCGGTAGAGAAGCTGACCGTCTTTGCTAGGCTTCAATCCTTCGGTTGCCCCCTGGAGATTCGTATGCTGCGATGGGTAGAAGTAGTGGGCATTGCATGAACGGTAGTTGCAGTCTTGATTCGAACAGCTCTTCGGCCACAATGGTCACCTTGCAAACAGCGTCCTGTAACGAAGCGCTCGCGAAATCATACCTTACACCCATCATGAAGGAAGTTTAGCGCACTCGACAAGTTTTTCTTGTTTGTACCTTAGCCTAGGGTCTTTCATTGTATAGGTTAAGGGTTTACGTCTTGTAGAACCACCCAGAAATATTTAGCAACTCTTACCTTGAAGCAGTCCTAAGCCCAGTGCCACCTCAAGCCTGCTTGATACGGAATCCTAGCACCCTCTCAAACACTTCGTCAGCGAAGCCGGTTCAGTTCAGGAATCAGGTATGCTAAATTTGGGTTCGCAGCAGATGCTGAGCAAAGCTCAGATTCCAAAGAGCAGGGCGGCAGCTGCAGGCGATCGCGGCACTTACATTGGCCCTCGAGGGATGTTGAAACAGACATGTCCGCAGCATCGCACGTTCCTGCTTGCGGAGTCTGCACTGAACAAACACTAACAGCTCCCATGTTGCAAACAGTCATCTTGATGACGAAACTTGTTTGGCATCAAATGCTTGGTGCTCTTCTAGGAAAGCACAGCGGAAGCCAGGCCGCAGCTCGTTGTAGTCTTACCTCCCGCATCCCATTGCAATGCCAACAATCATAGTCTACAGTAAAAAGACTCAAATCCTTGAAAGTTCACTTGAAGTAGCTCAGTGGTGCTGAGTGCAGCAAAGCTTGACAAGCAGTCAACTGCAAGTTTTGTACAGGCCCTGTGAACTACTGACCCGCATAGCGTAGCCTTTACCGGTAATTCTACACTTCTTGTTAGCTTGCTCGTGGGATTGTGCGACTATAGTTCTGAATATGCTTTTCTTGTTCTTTGAGGTGAGTAGGAGCCGTTGCGAAGCTAAGCAAAGCCTATACTTTCAACCACTGTTCTTGCGGCATCTATAGCAAGCACCTGTCAACGCCAGGGTTTTTTCTTGCGTAGCTGGGATGTTCGCGCTTTCTCCTCGAGGTGTTGTGTTTTCGCAAGTCCAAGGGCTGGCTCACGACTTCAGCCAACGTGGTAGCAATTACAAGCACTGTTCGGTTCGCAGTACCCTTGCGTGAAAGTTTTGTTGCGTTCTTGTGTAGCAGCTAACCATGTCTGTAATCAGCATTTCTTCAACGCACTTGAACCCTGCCGAATAGATTAATAGGGCTCGCATGACAGCTATCTGTTGTCATCCAGCATGACACTAATGCTCGGACTCCAAGGCCCTTGGCCCCACCCAGGCTCACCCCACCTTTTGAGGCTTCCAACAGTCTCGCAGTCGGGATCTTGCTTGCAGTCCTCCACCCGTACCACGCAGCACTCTATATCTCCTGAACATATCAGCCGTACTAAGCCGACGAAGCCGCGACTTAGTTATATGGTATGGAATGCTGGTGGTATTCCTTATGATGAATTCATGATATGGACAACACAAGCCGCACGTTTTGAGAGTAGTGGAGACACGCATGAGTTTCACTTCGGAGTGGAAGCTTCCAGGGTGGCATTGTGTGCACAGCGGCCAACGGAACTCCGACATCTTGATCATGATCGCAGACAGGGTGTGCAACGTGGACGGGGTCACTTGGAGAGAAGTACTACCGGGTCGACTTGTTCACCTTCGGCTGCATGGAAAGTCCAATATTTTTAATCTTATTGGGGCGTATCAGTATGTATGGGCGCCGCAGTCATCGAGTAGCATGGCGAATCGCAACAAATTTTGGAAACAAATGCAGAACACTCTACAGCAGTGCCCAAGTAGAGACAAAACTCTCGTGCTGGGTGATTTTAACACTGACTTGGAACCTCGAAAGGGGCGCGTTGGCCCCATCAACTTGGATCAGTTGGCTCCGAACTTCGCTCGATTTGAGGATCGAGAACAGCTTGGGCAGATCTTGGGTTCGTTTAACCTGGTGATCCTTAATTCTTGGAATGGTTGGCATGCCACTTATAAGTTTGAGGGTGCCAATGAAGCCCGAAGCAGAATTGACTTTGCCATCGCTCGCAGACCTCAGGCAGACATGCTGGCTCGTCACACTCAACTCCTCGATGATTTTCCGGTTGCTAGACATCGCACAGGATCAAGACATGTACCTGTAACGGGCACCATTCCTGTGGTCTGGACTCCTTGGAAGCCGACTCAGCCACCTGGTAACAAATTCACGGTCCAGCAGCGCAGGGATATTCATGAAGCATGCAAACTTCAGACAACACAGTGGTATTCAGCAGCGCCGTGACCGTCGCCGTGCATGGGCTCTCGGATGGCACCTTTGAGCAGGTGGAGGCCATTCTGAAGTCTGAAACACATCAACTTTTTCCGGCCGAGTCACAGGTACGCGAACCAAGCCTTTTCAAGACCATGCCTTGGCAGGACAAACACGTCAGATGCGGAGCCTGTATTCCCAAATGAAGTGGTGTAATGGTCAGGACCTGCGATCTCTACTTCAAGCGTGGCGACTTCGTGCCCGTTTTCATGCCATCAGCACTGCCCTGAGAAAGCGTTTCAAGGTGATTAGGCGTGAAAAACTGGAGACTTTTCTTCCGGACGCATCCGCATGTGCCCTCAAGTACGATGCCCAGGGATGGTATAAACCTATCAACTGCCTTTGTCCTAGGCAGGAAGCTCGGCGGGTGCACATACATGATGCGAAGGGTCGGCCTCTCGGGCCAGCAGGTTCACTAGAGTGCTTGCGCGAGTACTTTGGCGAGCTGTTCGGTGATTCAGACTTCAACTTGCAGTCCATGGAGCATGAGTGAACTCCCCTTCAGTCTAGATGATGTTCGTCATGAGCTTCAAGCATTGCCAGCGCTAAAGGCGCTGTTACCTTCTACGGCGCCGGCGACGGTGGAGGCAGCATGCTGGCTTGATTGCGCCTTACCTCTATGCCAAATTGCAACGACATTGGTGTGGAGAGCATTGCAGCATGCCTTCCGATTGGCTGAATCGTCTTCTTGCCTTATTAAACGAGCCAGGAGAATCGCCGAATCGACCAGAACATCTTAGGGCTATATGCCTTCAGCATCCAGCAAAGTTGTGGCAGGTGTGGTGACAAAATTGGCGGCCGACCATGTGGCCCGGCTCTTTGAGTCTCTGCCGTGTTTTGCGTACCTTCCCTGCAGATCGACCGGACATTGCTTGCTCAGAGTATTTGAACACTGCCGAGCCGTTAGGTCATTGGTTACCAGCACCAGACAACACAATCGAGCCAAGCATACGATGACAGGCGGAGTACAAATTGCTCTGGACATGCAGAAGGCCTTCGATGTCGTGAACAGGCCGTTTGTGCTAGAGTGCATTGATGCAATCGAGCTGCCGCCTGACTTGTCTGTGGCCCTGAAAACCTCGGTTATGAATGGAACATAATGGAACGTACGCGATTCAACACAAAGGGGAGACAGGAACCGTTGCAGCCCGCAGAGGCATCAAGCAGGGAGCCAAAGACTCCCCTTTGATATGGAACATCGTGATGTTGGGGGTGCTTCGGCGCCTCGAGGCCAAACATGGGCGGGACTGGATTGTTAAGCATTTAACGATGTTCGCAGATGACATTCACGGGGGATGGAAGTTCACCAATGAAAACGAAGCTGGCAAAGCTATTGGTGATATCGGGGTCCTGCTTGCAACGCTGGAGGACATGAAATTCCGAATCAACTACAACAAGTCGATCGCGATGATGGCTGTCGCAGGCGCGAGGGCCACACAATTTCAATCCCAGTATGTTCATCGTTATAAGGAGGGCCCTTTTCTTCGCTGTGTGGTCTCAACCGCAGATGTGAAGTTTCTACCTATGGTGAGCAAAACGGGCTATCTGGGGGCGAGCATCAGCTATCACCGATTTGAGCGTGACACCATAGATAGACGAGTCCAAGCTGCACAGACGGCGTTTGCTAGGCTCAAGAAGGCACTGTGCGACAGAGTTCACCATCGATTGGCGGACCGACTTCGGTTATACAACACATGTGTATGGTCTACTCTTACATATGGGGTCCTCGAGGTTGGGGTCGACTCTTATGGCTTAGGTCGTATCCATCGTCTCGTGGCCAAGCACTTTCGAATCATGGTTCGAACTCGTGACCATTAACACCATGAAACCACTAGAGACCTCTTCGGCAGACTTGACCAGCCTCTTCCATGGCAACATCTTGCGACCATGTTGGCGGCGAAGCGTAAGCAACAGGAGTCTAATCGACGTCACCTTCCAGCGCGAGACATCACTCAGTGGCCGGCTCTTCCTTCCAGTCCAGCACTTATTGACAGTGCCACCGCTGAGAAGATCACGGGAACACAAGCCCAGACTGCAAGTTTACATGCAACACATCAGCGAAATGAGCATCCGGATCGAGCCTCGAAGTCTTCTACCATTGTCTTCGAACCACTTCGTGATTCCTTTCAGGGCACAGCAGAGTGCAGGCATTGCGGCTTGAAGTTGCGGCACAAAACCAACTTGGTTCAGCATATCGTCGGCGGTGCATGCGCTAAGTTCGATGAGGCTGCAGGCTTTGCCATTCAGCCACTGTGGACCCGGACCGACTTCGAATCTTCACTGGCTCAGGGGGGGTCTGCTAAGCTGCTCATGCAGGATCAATGCTGTGCTGCCATGCGCGGTGGTTGCGGTTTGTGTGGACAACAATGTACACTCAAGGGCTTGTCAAGGCACCTTGCATACAGTCATGGAGCTCTTGCTCAATCCATCCGGGGGCTATCGAATGCTTTGCGCAGGGAGGTTGTTGT